GTCGGCGTCTGTGGCTTAGGCGTTGCGAATGCGCTTCGTAATGCCGGGGTGCTGGGTTCGATCCCAGCTGCGGGCTTTGCACTTTGCGTTGGTTTAGCCAGTGTTATCGAGAAGCTGACCGTCCAGAAAGAAATGGCAAACTACTGGACGTCAAATATGCCTAGAATAACCACAAAAGCCAAGAAATGCTGGGGTTGGCTCTGCAACTTCCTGTAAAGAATACGCAACTAACTGAATGAGCTAAAACCTTCAGTACAACAAAAACAATTGCAAGTAAACTACAAAAGTCGTTTGAGACGGGCTTGAGACTGGCCTTTGTGCCTAATTGGTTAAACTTTTAGAATGAAGCTAGTTAGTCTATTAACAGGTGCCTGTACAGAAAATAAGGTATGTATTGGGATGATAGAATCACTATTGTGGATCGTTGAGAGAGAGACCTAATAACATAACTAAAATACCTTTACACTAGAACACAATGGAACGGGGGGGGGGGGGGGAACCAGACCACAAATGGGTAGGACAAGGTATAAGCTTCATGTGCCAGCTAAGAAAAGGACGACTTGACGTTAGTTGGTTGAGGACCTATGCTGCAGTTGGAGAGTATACATTCTTGTCAAATAAGTAGAAGATTAGGAGGAGAGGTGGTAGTAGCAGCAACAAATGGGTCATCACGGCAGTGCTGGAATGCTAATAACCAACCGGCTAACAAGCTAGATGCTTAGACGTTAAGAGTCCAACTCGTAATTCCAACTCGTGGATTTTTATCATGGTTTGGGGCGTCGAAGGTCGACGTAGCCTAAAATGGGTACCAGTATGTATTTCCTAGGGAAGTAAAGATGGCCGGCGTAATGCTGACCACATTACCCACCTAGTGCGACTGGTCTGTAAATATATGGGTGCTACCTCCATAAGCCTGATGTACCTGAAGGCGTGAAAAGGGATCTGTACTTTTACTTACAAGCTAGATGAAGCTGTTAGAAACAAAATAACATTTTCTCTGCACCGCTTTCACCATGACAACACAAGTTAATCCTATAATTCCCTGGGCATTCCCAACCTTTCCACGCAGTCGTGTGCTAGAAAGAGATCATTCGCACTCATCTCGAGTCTGCCTACAACGGCCCTATTACTGGCAGATGTTACGGTCATAAATCTTCCAGACAAGACAAGACTCTGTCTGGATCAATTTCGATTACATCCACAAATGTCTCGAGTACCTGGTAATTCCAAATGACCGCAGCCATCAGTAGAATCTCATTTCAGGAGAGTCCCTAAAGAACTAATTTTACATGTAACTATGTTGGTGGCTGAAGGTGATTGGCACAGTTTAAGTGGAGGAACAGTTATATTTAAGAAAGACATTATTACTAGGTTTGTGTAGCTCCTGGCAAATTCTGCTGCTGTCCATACTGCCATTGATGCCTTGTATTCTTCACTGTACTCCTTTCCTTTTCTACCCTCTTCTTCTTCTTCTCCTTCTTCTTCTCCTTCTTCTTCTTCTTCTTCTTCTTCTTCTTCTTCTTCTTCTTCTTCTTCTTCTTCTTCTTCTTCTTCTTCTTCTTCTTCTTCTTCTTCTTCATCTTTTCCTCCATCTCCTCTGAATTATTCCTCTCCTTCCTCCTCAAGTGTTTGGCTCACAACTCTCTCACATTTATCATTGCATATTATGTTTTTATAGTTTTCGAAAACTCTCACTACGCTTTGTATGCAGAACAAATCTAAAAAACCCAAGTGTCATTTAAAAAATGTGCCTAAGAAGTCGTTTAATTAGTTACAATAAACACGGCTATGATCTTATTATGTTTTGTGCAAGCTGGGATGTACTAATGAGATATTCATTACAACAGGTCTAGGAAATGTCCAGATCTGGCTTCAAGGCAGGACTGTACATGTTTCTTAATGTTATCAAATACCTTATTTCTTGAATTGTAATTCTGATTGCTTCTGTTGATAACCCATTGATAATCTATTATGTTTTCAGTACAAATAATTACTTTAGCAGATAACAGCCACTAACTAGTTATTGCTTCACCTTTGACTGCGATGCAAAAAAAAATTTTTTTTTAATGACGCCATGTACTTTTCGCGAATTCATTCTACATACAAATTGTAGTGAGGCTAAAAACACCATACGCAGTAAACACCCAATGAAAAAGTAAATGTTACCAAACAGGCCACATATGTTTGTAATAATGCCCTCTTCATTTCAATGTGGTGTCATTTTTGTTGCTGTTTTTTGTATATTCAAGATGTTTATTGTGTCCCTAGGTTAGGTTGTTGTTTTTTTCGAAACTCGTCTTTGTTCACTCACATTACATTCTGTCTCTGTTTACTCGGATATTTATATATATATATTTTATGACTGACATATTGATGAGAATTTATATACAAAATAAACAGATATTTGGAAAGGGCAGTGTGGATCTGTTAAAGCTAAACCCTCCAGAAATTAATTCTTGGTAGCACACATGTTGCTGCAGTGAGGCTCCTAGCAGTTATTATGTATTCTCATCCCTTTATTGGATGCAATTTTTCGTTATTTGAAACCCTACTCTGGCTCTTGCCAGGGGCCGCAATATATAGCTTGGCCATAAGTATGGTCTAATGGCTAAACGCGGTTTCTGTGACCTCTGCACGAGTGATCCTCCTCCACATGGTGGCACTTTGTGTCATCGGGTGTTTATCGCTTGTGTGATGTTCTAGCAGGGTATAAGAAAATAGATACTTAGATGCGAGGCCCTGTCATCATTTGGAAGTGACAGGTTCCATTCCCCGCATTTCAACTGTAGCTTTGAATGTTTATTTTGTCTAGTGCGTCCTTCTATCTGTTGCCTTCTTTGTATGAGCCCTGTCAAAAACATATTTATTGATTTAATTTTATAGTTTTAATTATATACCTTGGCTCTCATGTCAACCTAGCATAAATGAGTACCAAGCAAAGTCTTTGGAAGTAAAGGTGGTAGGTCTGTCAAAAGGGTCCTGTAATTTAATGATATAATTTATAAAATATGGAAACACATTCCATCCTCAGTTACTGTGCAAGAACAACGTACCAGTAAGTGTTAAGTAAGTAAAAGTCCTTTTTCCACGTCTTCAAGCGTATTGGGTATATAGGGCTAGACCTATATTTTATAGACCAAACGGCACGTGGTGAGTGAAGTGATCAGCATCACGTCGACAGCCTTTACTTCCTAGGATTGTACAGGATACCCACTCAAGGCGGGATCGACCTGGGAGCCAAGGTCCCATCAGGACCTGAACCCACGACCTTCCGATCCGTAGGCGAGAGTCTATCCGCTAGACCACAGCGGCTGCCCCTCAGTAAGTGTGCATGCTTAAAAACCGGTTCATCGTCTGTTCCATCCACCAAACGAAGGCACCCTGACCTTACTCCCAAGTTGATACCGTTGTCTAGGTTGGTGACAGGGCCAGTAATTACAGTGTGGCCCATCACTAACGACCAACTCTATCGATGTCTTTTATACGTTTTGGTCCCGTCAATAAACCGGAGTCTATAACTTTGTTCGTTTCAAACAAAGATTCCCAATGTGTTGTTGAAAGGACATGCTCGAGGATAACATCTTTAGCATTCTGAGACTTTGATTCATTGAAGCAGAAATCATGCGCCTTTATTCACCTCTTTCATTTACCCTTTAGTTCCAGTTGGTGATTGCAAACTTTTTCACAAATTCCAGTCCTAATGAGAGAGGCAGTTGTTCGTTATTTTAGAGCCCCATTCCGGCTTTAGTCGGGGGCCCTAATATAACCTAACTAGTGAACGGGGCTTCTGGGACTTGGCCCGGGTGATCCTCATCCTAATGGTGGCACTTTGTGTTACCGGGCTTGGTCGCTCGTTGTGCGGTTGAACGACACACGAATTGTTTCTACGTGTTCTTCTGCCTTTTAAACCCAATGAAAACATAGGCCCTCCATCGACTGTCGTTCGCCAAGTCGTTCTGTCCTGCGTTATTGCATGCAGCTCACCTCATGTCATCCCCATCTTTTTAACTCCACTCACTAGCTCCCTCGTCCTTTTGTTTTTATGGCCTGCCTTTATTTCTATGCCCCAGTGGGTGCCAGTGCAAAAACAATAAGGTGTGTTTAAGTCTGACTGTACATTTATTATGATAACATATCAACAGGGTTGAACTGAGTTTCCTGGTTTTGTGCCTGGTTTTTCACACTTGAGGTGTTATTCCTTCCGACCTCAATCCTGGAAGGTACAAACTACTAACCTACCTGCCATGCATAACGATAATTATTCTGTTTCTTTTGCCAGGTGAACAGTGCCTTTCTGGTCAACATTATTCGTGTGCTAGTGGTCAAGTTGCGGACTAACAACCTTGTGGAATCCAGAAGAATGAGGTACTCATTGGCAAGACAGATAATCCTTCATCATTCATTGACAACATAATAATCCCTCATAAATCATTGACAGGATTATATGATCCACCACCAATCATTGACAAACAATATAATCCTCTAGTTCTCAGTTTTCAAAATTGAATACCCTTTATTAATGACTGATACGATATTCTATTGGTAGTCAATTGCAAAATAATAACGATTCACTACCCATTGATCGGTCGGCGTCTGTGGCTTGTGCGCTGCGAAGTCGCTTTGTAATGCCGGGTTCGATCCCATTTGCGGAAGATTTGTTTTGCGTTGGTTTCTCCAGTGGTACCTACAGCTGTCCGTTCAATAGCAAACTGCTTAACGAAAATTTTTCTTAAAAAATCAACAACAGTCAAAAAATGTTGGGGTTGGTTCTGCAAGGTCCTGTAAAAGATATGCAACTAACTTGTTAAATCACTGACAGCATAACAATGCGCCATTTCACAGCATAATAATCTACCAGAACTCATTGAAAACGTATTGTCCTCCACTACTAATTGACAGGACAGTATGATCCCTCATTCTCATTGATTAAATATAACCTTTTACCTTTACCCATTCATAAGATACTATGTTCTCATTGACCTGCTTTTCTTCCACTGCCACCCACACGGGATTAATTCTTCCGCCATTACTTATTAAAGGCAAAACTTTCCCAATCATGGCTCATGAACAAGATCCAATATTTAACAGCTACTTCTTGTCGTTGCAAGCTACCCAACAAACTCTGATTGATAGGATAATTTCACACATTGACAAAATGAAATATTCTATGAATACTCCTTATTAAAGCCGCCATGGTGTAGCAGCTAGAGGTTAGACTACGGGCGCGAAGATTCGAGGGTTCAAATGCGAATGGAAGGCCAAATTTTTATTTCCTTCTCAAAAATGAATTTGGCTTCGATGTCGATCCGCCTTAAATGGGTACCAGGTAAAGTCCTAGGAAGTCAAGGCGGTCGTCATGATGTCAACCACATCGCCCACCGGGTGCCGATTTGTCTATGAAAAATAGGTTTAGCACTAAGTGCCCGGTACAATCGCAGACGCTAGGGGAGAAAGTGTTAACATTGATACGGTAATTTCCCCTGTGTTTTCTCGCTGAGATGCTAATATTTCCCATAATTGCTCACTGACAAAATTGAATATTCCATGAATGCTCATGACTAAATATTTATATCTGCATTGTATCCAAGGAAAGCTATTAAAGCCACGGTGGTCTTGCTGCCGCTTCTGGGGGTGGCCAACCTGTTGTTCCTAGTACAGCCAGTGAAGGAAGGCACCCTTGTCATGTCCGTGTACAGAGTTATCAATGGACTGCTGCCATCATTGCAGGTGGGTCACGGGTCAAGTCCAGCTGTGTTATCTGTGCTGTCGATTCTCTTGTCGATAGAATGATACCCGTGAGAAGGCGCGCTGAAACATAGAAAATAAGGGAAGGGACGCAACCATACATATTGTCGTGGCGAAAGAAGGGAGAAGGCTCAAGGGGCCTAATTCTAGTTTTAAAGCATAATACCAATAGTAACAAGAATAATAGTAATACAGGGCTTAATGGCAGATAGTTTTATACATGGTTAAAGGAAATTGATTAGGCTCCTTATAGAAACTATTCGACTAGCTTAACCTCTATCTCCCTGACCACTATAATGTTTTTTTTTTTGAGATGGGGAGCGTGGGTTAGGGGGGGGGGGGTGGTTTGGGCTCTCAGGCGGTCCTGCTTGTATGAGGGTTTCTGGGTCTAGTTAAACTTGTCATAGTGAATTAACTCAAGGGCCCGCTGGGCACTTTCCCGGGGCTACACGAGCCAGGGCGGCGTCCGTGGCGAGTCCGACTCGTAGGCCAGCATACCGCGATCGAAACCTACTGCAGGCTCCGTGGATTTTTGTCGTGGTATGGGACGTCGCAGGTCGACCCAGCCTAAAATGGGTACCAGGATGGGCTGTCCTGGGAAAGTAAAGACAGCCGGCGTAATGCTGACCATATTACCCACAGAGTGCTGATGGTCTGTAAAATATGGGACGCTCTGCCCATATGCCCGATGCGCCGAAAGGCGTGAAAAGGGATCTTTACTTTACTTTTACTTACTTACACGAGCCAGGAAGCCCCATGTTAATCTGTGTATGTCGAGTGACTTACTATAGCTACTGCTGCTGCTACTACTACTACTACTACTAATACTACTACTATTAATAATGTTTATTGCACTTGTGGCTAAAACCAGAAACTAATAGAAAAAACGCCATGAAATTAATTGGACTTTATGACCACTTTGCTCACATAAAAAAAATAATCCAGAACATAACCGACATAAGAGGATCCATAGCACAAATTACTTGCTATTCCCCATTATTATTGTTACTATTATTGCAACATAGGGAGCCGCTGTGGTGTAGCGGCTAGATGTTCACATGCGGACCTGAAGATCGTGGATTTGAATCCGACCAGAGCTTGGGATTTTTTTTACAATGACCTTGACTTCCAGGTAGACCCAGCCTTAAATGGATAACATGGAAAGTAAAGGCAGCCACCGTGATGCTGACCACATCACCCACCGTGATGCTGACCACATCACCCACCGTGATGCTGACCACATCACCCACCGTGATGCTGACCACATCACCCACCGTGATGCTGACCACATCACCCACCGTGATGCTGACCACATCACATCACCCACCGTGATGCTGACCACATCACCCACCGTGATGCTGACCACATCACATCACCCACCGTGATGCTGACCACATCACATCACCCACTGTGATGCTGACCACATCACCCACCGTGATGCTGACCACATCACCCACCGTGATGCTGACCACATCACATCACCCACCGTGATGCTGACCACATCACCCACCGTGATGCTGACCACATCACCCACCGTGATGCTGACCACATCACATCACCGAGTGCCGTTCGTATATAAAATATAGGTCTAGCCCTATGTGCCAAATATGTCTGAGGGCGTGTAAAAGGACCCTCTACTTTACATTGCAACATATGGTTTGTCCATTGTCCATTCCGAGCCCTTGAGGTTCACTACTGCAGATATCTCTGGCCTCCATTCATCTCTTTGGTTGGTCTTCTCTTTCCAGTTGGTGACACCGAGCGTTTGCATGTCTGTCTGGACATTATCTCTCCATGGTCTTCTTGTTCTGCCTCGTGGTCTACGACCATTCATTTCCCAGGTGTATATAATTTTTACTTTTCTGTCTATTAGCTCTCATGGCGCCAGTGATCAATATAGATTTAAACAGATTATGAACTTCGTTGTTGCTTCTCACTCTCCATTCACCGCTCTTTGCATCTTTGATGGGTCTAAAGATTCGTCGTAAGACTTTGTGTTCGAAAACCTGTAATAAGGCTTCATCTCTTTCAGCTGTGCTCCAATTTTCAGAGCCATATAAAACGACTAGTCTTATCAAGGTTTTAAATATTTTGATCTTGGCTGGTTGTAATTTAAATAGCTATTTTAAACGAATACATGGTGCACTTAGAAGTATTTACTTTTTGTTCACCACATACGTCGGCCATATTTGCAAATCAGCTAACATCAGCGAACGAGACAACATCGGAGAATAACTAAATGAATTGCTTTTCGCCAATGACCAGACAATCATAGCACAAACAGCAGTACAACTACAAGAAGATATCAGTAGACTCCACTCTGAATGCGACAACTGTGATATGAAGATCAACGTAGACAAAACAGAAGGAATGACATTATCCAGAACAGTAAGACCCACCAATATCAAAACTGGTGAAAACCAGTTAAAGCTGGCGAAGGATTTTACAAGACGGAAAAACAATAAAGAAATACAGCAAAGATGCAATAAAGCTTATAAGGTTTTAGGCCAAATGGCACTAATTATGACATGCAGATTTGTGAATATAAATACTAAAAGAACACTGTTCAATATGATATTTTTACAGATGCTATGCTATCAATGTAAGACATGGACACTGTCTTCAGACAGGAAGAAACTAGTCACGACAGGAATAAAATGTTTACGTACTATACGTTAAGAGGAAAGATCAGCTTAGAAAAGATGACATCAGGGGGAGAGTAGGCACAGAACAGATACTGAACTTTATAGGCAGACAACAAATCAAATGGTTTGACAAGATAACAAGATTGGTATCATACAGAGCACCACAGAGAGCACTGTTATTCAAAAACAACCCAGAGTTCTACCACGAAGAAGATGGACCGCAGAAGTATCAGAGGCACTGAAAAGTACTTTATACGCAACAAACAAAAAGGCCCGTTCTGGAGATTTCTTCCTGCCCTGACGCCGCGAGCATTCCATGAAGAGAGAAAAGAACACACATTTGTATAATTTGTTTGTTTTCTGTATTGTTTTTTTTTTTTTTTTTTTTTTTTTTTTAAAGGGGGGGGGGGGGGGGGGGGGGGGGGGGGGGGACGCCGCGGGGGGGGGGGGAGTAGAGAAAAGTCCACTTCTGAAATCTAGTTTTGTGTATTTAACTTTAAAAGAAAACAACTTAAACATCTCAAGAGAGGGTGTTTTGTTATTGCTTATCATGTTTTGTTTGAAATTACATCGGATTGGCTTCCTTTTAGTTTTATTTCCAAGAGATTGCCTAAGCCATACTGCTAAATGTATTTTTGTCTAATTAAGTGCATTATTTATTACATTTCAAGCCAAGTCGCTGTAATAATGTTATAAATGTTATTTTATAGGCCCTGCAATTTGAATTTATAATTTCCGCGTTGACAGGCAAACGTTTTGACTACTATGCTGAGGTTGCTCATGTCGAAATTACACTCGCCCAGCGAACGACTCGTCCGCGTGAGGAACGGCCCTCGTCTGTTGTACGATGCAAATGGCTTAGCTTCTTAGTCACCAAGAGAAGCCATGTGTTGCCAGTGTATCCTGTCCCTCTCTCTGCTTGCCTTGTCTACTTTTAATACTAGTGGCATAAGAAGAAAGAATAGTCTGTTAATATTAAACGTGTATGTCCACACGGAAGCTGAAATATTTTGGTCATATCAAGCGCCACGACGGATTGGAAAAAATTATAGGAGAAGGCATGGTACCAGGAAGGAGGAAAAGGGGCCGACCGACACGAAGATGGGCACATGGTATAAGTGACTCCTTGAGTACGAAAGTACATGAGGCGGGAGAACTGGCGAAAGGCCGAGTTTCTTTCAGGCAGACTGTGTTGAGAGCGACGCTCTGCAAAGGTCCTGCTACATGATGATGATGATGTGTCCCCTAACAATTAACGTTTAAATGTTCACCTCTTTTCTTTAATCATGATCAAGGTTCATTTAATATTGTCTAAACCTTTTTAACCGATTATCGATGATTTAATGTTATGCGTCGTGAGTGGCTGTAAAGATATAAATAGTGCACTGATTTGCCAGGAAGTCTTCAATGCAGTTAATACGGTCCGACTCGGAGAATGGGCAGGAAGGACACACACAGACTGGTAATGGTACTATCGGAAATAGAATCTCAGTTCTGGCTGCTGAAGATGGGGACGGTGCGCTTATGGGGATGCCAGGAGTGGCATGATGCCAGTTCTTGGTTCAGTTCATCCCATCTTCAAACAGTCTTGCCAAACGAATGAGTTCAGT